AGATTATTTTAATACTCTAGCTTTGTTTATATAAAAAAAAACTAGGAACATTTGTAGCAACCCCTCTACTTTACATTGGATGTAATTTGGCAAATGTGACAATGTATTTGTTAACAGACTAAACAGCTAAGCACTGCTATAAAATTACCACCTGTATTAGTATGTGCCTGTGTGTATTTTGTTATGAACCGGCAGTCGGCATCCTACTTGAGTACATGTCTGACTCTGTGCACCGGTTTGGATGTTTACCTTTATTTGCATGTCCACTTCTGTTATGGCTGCAGGGTGTGGATCTCATTTCCCATTTCATGTAGATAGTTTGGTTTGTATTCATGCTTCATTAGGCCAGAGATTTCCCTTATTTTTCTTCCCTAAAACCCAAGGGGCCAAGTGACCTCCACATTACTTCCCTATTTCTAGAAAATAGACAGAGCCTCGGTATCATATGAATGTCATATACGCACTAGAAATGCATTTGGACTGGTCCAAGTGCAAGAGAGTACATCGGTCTCAGTTGGAGTGTAGTGATAAAATTACGCAGTAATGTCTGAGGATATCTATGCCGAGCCAGACCTCACCAAAAAAGTGAGATTTCAGACAGGTGAGAAGTCGGACAGAAATGCAGATGTCTACAAAACCACAGACAACGTGAACATTTATGACAACTACTTGCCACAGGGGAGTAAGCCGCTAGAACTACAGGACAGCACCACTGTGGACCAACAGAGAGGTACCAATCTGTCTGTCTCTGCCTGTCTCTTATGTACAATATATATGCACACATAATATGACCTTTTTATTTGCAGTGTGTTGAAGCTTTTTGTTTTTCAATCATTACAAACGGGCCAATTTACGTTTCCCGTTTTTATACATGGGTAACTAAGTACTCTCATGAAACCCCTTTAAGAATGCAGAATATGATAACAATTAGTTTTTACAACCAAAGCCTAGGATTTTAATGCAGCTTTTTTTCTTTTTCCTATTGGGAATATATTAAATTTGAATAACATCCTTCATGGGCCAAAAAAATTATTAACCACACATATCACACTAACCTTACTAACGTGGATCCAGCTGCTTCTTTGGAGGAGGCATCTCATGTCAGATTGGACCTGGTTCAACAAAAACAAAATGTATTAAAAAAAAAACATCACTGTAGCGCTACTTCTCATCTATCATAACTAGTGCTTTTTTTTCTTTCATTTAGCTAAGTAGCCTTTATGATACTGTTATTTAGCCTTTCATATTACATGGATAGAGCAATGGTTTTTATTTTAGGAAAAAAAATTGCCTCCTTGCAATTTTCAACAGCCCCTTCATTTGCTTCATCCTTGTGCCAGGCCTGTGTCATGATGATGATGATGATACCTGCAGCTGGTTTTAACCCATACAAATTGCCTCGACTGCAAAAATGTAATCTTTTATCCAAAACAGCAGTGACACCCTAAGTGGCTGGTTGGGTGTTTGTTATGCCTGTTGTTTCAGTGCAAGCCAAAGGAAAAAAAAAATTTTATGCCTCCGCACCAGCTGTTCTCAGGTTGTCCGTCCGTATGTAGATCAGTCTCATTCTTATTAATCAGATATCTCAAGAACATCTTGAATGAATTTCATTAAATTTGCTACAAATGTTCGCTTGGACGTTAAGATGAAATGATTATGGTGGTCAAAGGTCAAAAGGTCAAGGTCAAGTGACCCGTAGGGAATTTCTTTACACCTGGCTCAATTCACTTGGACTCACTGATGGTGAAGGGTCAAGGTCACTGTGACCTCTCAAAGCTGCCTTTTGAATTTAATATCTCATAGGAACACCTTGTGGGAATTCCATCACCTTTTGATCAGTTGTCACTTCGACTCAAAGATTAACTAAGATTTCAGAAGTCAAAGATAAATGTTCGGGTGACATTAAAGGAATCTGGAAAACAAGGTATGTGGATGGACACTGGTTGGCGGTGGCAAAGAACCACAGTATGGGGAAAAAAATGTTTAATATCCAGTAAGCAATTCTTCTACTTCACTTTCAGCTCACAAATGAAAAATCTGCATATGACACATTTCCCTCCCTGTTTTAAAATAAACTCTTATTAGGTGATTTTGTTTGTGCCCTCAGCCATTTCAATCAATGCACCTTCAGGAGGGAGGAATCTTCTCAGACCCGCTGCAATCTTTCTGGTGCTCCTCTGTCTTCTCTTCCTCGCTGCAGTCATTTTCCTGGTTGTCCTTTGTAAGTATTAAAAACATTAAAAATGTATTCAAAGTAGTAGTAAATTACCCAAATATATGTAAGTGAGCTTTGTTCATTCATATGTTTGACCCTTGCTGTGGCAGTGATTCAAGACAAAAGCCTAATTTCCAACCTAACCAGAGCGAGAGATGAACTACAGACAAGTAATGATGACATGAAAAGCCTCAATGCCAACCTGACCAAGAAGATAAACAGGCTAGAGAAGGAGAATGATCTTTTGAAGGTCATTGAAAGCAACCTCACTAAAGAGAGAGATGAATTACAAAGGCAGCAAGGCAAGTGAAAATATGCATAGTGCTTTTGATTAAAAGGATTTATTTGGCATTTTTTCAATATGCCAAGTATTAGGTGATAGGATTGACACCACTCTCATGTATATATGGTAAATACAAAGCTGGAGCCCACAGCTGGTTTGCCTAAAGCACAAAGAATAAAAACTGAATAACTATTTCAAATATGAATGACAAATCCACCACTAATGCAACTTAAGATCTCTAATTAAAGGGTTGCACAGTGTTTGTTTGATTTATACAAAATTGTACTGTTAAAGCTTGGTAGCATTTGCCAGGCAACCATCAGAGACTGTGAACAATTCTTAAAATCCCAAGATTGGGCCTTTGTGCCAATTACGGCTGACATTGGGCAAGAGGATGGTGACACCCTGGACAGGTCGGGAGGGTCTTGTAGAGGCAAAATACAGAGACAAAATGCCATTCACACTCACATTCTCACCTACGGTCATTTTAGACTCTTCAATCAATCTAACCCCATTCGGGATGTTTTTGGACCTGGAGAAATCTATGCAGACATGGAGAAAATATGCAAACCTCAAAGATGTCTTCAAACAAATGTATAAAAAGTACAACAAAATGATCATACATTTTCCATGGAATAAGACAGATGTGAGAGACGGGGAGAGATGGGAGAGACAGAATCAAAATGATTAAGATGTAACAAGTAATAGAGGAGATGAGAGCTCCCTATAAAATAAATTCTTATAGTTATATAAACAGCATGTAATGTCATCATTGATAGCTATGACTGCTTCACGATTGGCCAAGCATGTGTATCGACCTGAAGCCGATAACCTGGCTCCATCCCATGATCAGCCTCTGGCTCCAAATTTGCGAAATGGTAGCATTTGTATCGAGAATATTTCGTGTTTTTTTCTGGATAGTAGGAGGAAATGGAGTCTACGTTAGTTATCACAGCGGAATCAGTAGTCTCATGTAACTCTCTGAATTAAAGCTTATTAGCATATTTTCCAAAACACCAAACTACTCCTTGAATAGGTTTTCTGTTTTAAGAAATTGAGATCAGCAAAAGTGTTTGAGTAATATTTTTGCTTCGTGCTCTGTGAAGTGTTTTATCTTTGTCTTTTCTTACAGTTACATGATGTGTTATGACTGAAACATGTTATTTTGTTTTGTTAAGCAGAGAGCTCTAGCTGTCCTGACAACTGGATAAGGTTTGGCAACAGTTGTTATTTAATACCCAACTTGAGGAAAATTTGGGCAGAGAGCAGGAGCTTCTGTGAAAATCAGAATGCTCAGCTGGTGATCATATCGAGCGAAGAGGAGCAGGTGATTGAAAGAATTAAGGGTTATTCTCTTGACCCTGTTTTCATTGACTGAATACTGTTTTTTGGCCTTTTAAACAGTGAATGTTTTTAAATGATCATTGCTGTAAAACAAGTTTAGTCTTCCCCAAATGTCTGAAAAGGGGAAGAGAGGTTCACATACACTTCTGCAAAGGTGGAGAAGTGAATAAACAATATGAACAAGGTGTAGAGGAGATGAAAATACACAAAATCCAGATGAGCAAAACCTGTAAATAAATTAATTTACGTTTTTTTGGTGCAGCTTGTTGGGCCTCTCTCTTAGTGCCATTCTAGTTCCTGATCTCAACCTGTAAAAACTA